GCTACTTTTTCAGATAAATGTTTATTTATTTTTTAAATAAGATATATTTTAAATTAATTTTTCTATAATTCACTATATGCAGCCAATTGAACGGTTTCAGCAAAAACTTCATCAATTTCAATAGATTCAGCCATTTTATCTGTTACCAAACACACTCTAAATAACACTCTAAATGAAAAAAAAATCAATGTATGATAGTATTGTTAATGTGAAACAGATCAATGATTTTAAAATATCAAATAGATGGAGTTGTTCAAGTTTCATAAGCATTTGATATAAAAAGTAAATGATTAAGAATAATTCGTGTTGCCAGTGAATATGAACATGAACTAGGACCATCAATTTGGGACGGAGGTAGTATATATCTATTCTATTTATATATAAGAAAAGAAATAGCTTCTATTAGAAGTCTACTCTAAATATGTTACTTCCTTAAATAGATTATGGGTGAATCATTACACATACATTATTCAAAAAAAAATCACATAATAAAATGGTGCATCTATTTATATATAAGAAAAGAAATATCTCTTTAAAAGACAAATTTTCTCTCTTTAAAGCTTATGTGCTCTTCTCCTTACAATTCTCTCCACTCTACATATACTCTACGTGGCAACCTCAAGGACAAACACAATTGATGCTAATCATTTGTAAAATAAGGTGGCATCAATTCATCGGACCCACTGTTTTAAAAAAAAATCCATTTTCTTCAAAGTGGTATAAGTTTTTCATTTTTTCTCTATTTTTTATAAAAAATATACCAAAATTTATAATTTTTTACGATCTTTCATATGACACCAATATTGAATACTACCTCCGTCCCTTAAAACTTTGCCAAAGTTGACCGGCACGGAGAATAATAAAGTAAAAAGTGTGTGGTTGAGGTTTGTGCAGAGGGGAGAGAAATAACAGAAACCAAAAAATAATTGATTAAAAGGGAAATAGCAAAGTTTTTTGGGACGTCCCAAAAAGGAAAGATGGCAAAGTTTTAAGGGACGGAGGGAGTGAAAAATTAAAAAAAAACTGAAGATTTATTAGACAATCTTTCTATTTGCCGAACTCTATACAGAGCATTCCTTATTAAATAAATATAAATTCCTAATATATATTAAAAAGGAAATAATGGATAAAAATATGACTTATTAATTTTTAGTGCCTAACAATTGAGCAAGATAACTTTCTCTCTCTTATGTAGTTCTTTTAAGTATAAGATTAGTGCTTTTAGGTATTAGAAGTTAAGCTTGCTAACAATTGAGCGAGATAACTCTCTCTCATATGTAGTTCTTTTAAATATAAGATAAGTCGGCTAACAATTGAGCGAGATAATTTTCTATCTCATTTGTATTGCTTTTAGGTATAAGAAACTAAAGAGATAAACTTGCTAACAATTGAGTAGGAGAATTTTCTCTCAATTGTAGGGCTTTTTAGTATAAGGTAAGATAAACCATCTAACAATTGAACGGGAGAATTTTCTCTCATATGTAGTGCTTCTAGATATAATATTTTAAATATAAAAATAAGCCATAAGCCATCTAACAATTGAGTGCAATATTTATCTCCCCCCCCCCCCCCCCCCCCCCCCCCTCATAAGTAGTGCTTTTATACATAAGATAATCCAACTAACAATTGAGAGATGTCTATAGATAGTGTTTTTAGGTATAAGACAAGTCTGCTAACAATTGAGCGGGAGATTTTTTTAATAATATGTAGTGTTTTTAGATATAAGATTTTAGATATAAGAAAGATTAAGCCATAAGTCGTCCAATAATTGAGTGAGAGATGTCTATCCCTCATAAGTAGTACTTTTAAGTATAAGATAATCTAGCTAACAATTGAGAGGGAGGATTTTCTCTATCATATATAATGCTTTTAGGTATAAGATAAGCTGAATAACGATTGAGCGGGAGAATTTTCTCTATCATATGTAATGCTTTTAGCTATTTGAAAATAAACTTGCTAACAATTGAGTGGAACCATTTCTCTCTCTCATATAGTTCTTTTAAGTATTAGATAAACTGAGTAACAATTGAACAAGAGAACTGTCTCTCTAATATGTAAGAGTTTTAGGCATAAGAAGATAATTTTGCTAATAGTTGAACGGGAGAATTTTCTCTCCCATGTAGTGATTTTACATATTAGAAGATATGCTACTAACAATTGAGCGAGCGAATTTTCTCTCTCATAAATTTCTACGGAATTAGCTAATTATTGAGCAGAAAAATTTTGCTCTCACATATGTAGTGCTTTAGGTGTTAGAAAATAAGTTTGCTAGCAATTGAGTAGAGAAATTTTCATATATGGTGTTCTTTGAGTACAAGATAAGCTGAATAACAATTAAGCAGTAAAAATTTCTCTCGCATACATAATGTTTTTAGGTATAAGATAAAGCGGCTAAGAATTGAGTAGTATAATTTTCTCCCTTTTATGTTAGCACTAATTTAACTAATGAGTAGCAAGTTCTTATTTAACTAATACGAAGTATTAGTTAAGTTTAATTAATATTTATTGTATTCACTTAAACTTTATGTCAATCACTTATTGTACTCACCTTTTTAGTATAGTATTTAATATCAAAATGAATTTAATCATGAAAATTAATAAGTTGCATATTCTAATGAGTGTTGTCAATTAATTTTTTCTAATATACTCTTCATTGAATATTTATTGTATGAGTTATACTTCATGATATTAGATTATTGTACTATTATTTTTCGAAAATGTCCAATCCTACAAAGTTATTTTTATTTTAATATTTAATTAGATCATGGGTAAAATTATATGCTCAGACTACTCTTTCCCGTGCGTATGCACGGGTACAATACTAGAAGTGGTTTTGATTATAAGATAAGATCATAAGCCGGCTAAAAATTGAGTGAATGAATTTTCTCTCTCATACATAGTGCTTTTAATTATAAGATAAGTCGATTAAAACAATTGAGCGGGAAAATTTTCTATCTCATACGTAGTGCTTTTAGGTATAATAATAAAGAAGATTAGGTATGAGAAGTATAGGTATATAATTAGCCGGCTTAAACAATTGAGCAAGAAAATTCTCTCTCCCATATGTAGAGGTTTTATGTATAAGAAGATAAGCCGACTTAACGTGCAGATGATTGGGCGGGATGATTTTCTCTCTCATACGTAATGATTTTAGGTATAATAAGAAGGTAAGATAAGATGTGAAGACGAATAATCGAGCGGGGTAATTTCTCTCTCACATGTAATGCTTTTAAGTATAAGAAGATAAAAAGATTAACGTGCAGATGATTGAGCGGAATAATTTTCTCTCTCATACGTAATGACTAAGTACATAAGAAGGTAAGATAAAATGTGAATACGAATAATTGAGTGGGATAATTTATCTCACATATGTAATGTTTTTAGGTATAAGAAGATAAGATAAACAGATTAATAATTGATCGAGAGAATTTCATCTCATATTTTTTCTCTCATGACCTTTTAAACTTCTTAGAAGACATTTTGCTATAATTATCACCAATGTTATGACAATGAATAAATATCAAGCTCTATCACTGCAAAAAGATAAAATTTTCCTACCTAGACGTATTTTAGTCATGTAAAATTTATATATGTGGCGTTATAGAGAGAGTTTAGAAGACATGGATTAATGGTTTTAATACTACGTACATGATAAGAAAAGAAAATCACAAGTCATTACTACTATAAGTTCTCTTTAAGGTAGTTTTTCAAAACTCTAAGAAATAAGTTCAATATTTCACTCTGTTGCCAACTTCACTAATTATTATTACGTAGTAAATTTTAATGGATGATGTTAATTTTTTATATTTTAATTTTCTTTTACTTTGAATATTTGTTGTATGAATTTATGCTTTTTTATATTCACTTATTATACTCCATTTTTGAAATGAAGTAAATGGTAAGATAAAAAATATATTTTTATATTTAACGAGATCATGAATAAAAGTATATGTAGAACGTCCGTTTTTTCCCGTGCGTATGCACGGGAAAAGTGCTAGTTCAATTGTGAAACTGAAAGATTATAGCATTATTTTATCAAGGTCTAAGGTTAATTATCACGAATCAAGTGTGATTGTGATGTGTTGTAAGGGCTACTAGTAATTCCACCCGTGCTACGCACGAGAGTGAGATGTTTGGATCAACCAAATATATACTCAAAGAATTTCATAGTCAATTAACCTAACTCAAAACATAAAATTAAAAACTAAAACAAACTAATCACATTAAACAATAAAATAAAATAAGTATTCATATTTAATACGACATTAAAATATAATGCTAAAAGTTAAGTACATATCATGAAGTGATATGCTAGCAATGAGTATGGATGTATGCATGTAAAGCAAGGGAACTACAAATTAGTATAAACTTCTTTGTATACTACATTCAACGCTGACTTCTTTGGTTTCCCTTCTTCGTCACATATAACAAACTTTAACCCAGACGGACTTGTTACTCTCGAGACAGCCACGTACAACTGTCCATGCGTAAAAACAGGACGACGGAGGAAGATGCCAACCTTTTCCAATGACTGTCCCTGGCTCTTGTTGATGGTCATTGCATAGCTAACCATTAACGGAAATTGCCTACTCTGAAAAGTGAACGGGAGACTAATGTCCGATGGTGTCAAAGTAAAGCGGGGAATAAGAAATTTTTCGCCGGCATTTTCTCCGTGCATCATCTGAGCCTCAATAATATGAGTTCCAAGTTTAGTGACCAGAAGTCGTGTGCCGTTGCACAATCCAGATGAATGATCGATATTCCTCATAAGCATCACAGGAACTCCAACTTTCAGCTTGAGCTCATGACTCGGCAAGCCAGAACATTTGATGCTATTAAGAAATTCATGAGAATGTATCTCATGCAAGAGATCATTACTATCCGAGTCGGATGAAGAAACAGAATCTCAGCTTAGGTATGTCTTTAACTCTGAATCTATCTGGCTCAACATGTAATCGTTGACCTTATCAACCTCATCTATGGTTGGAGCAAGAATAGCCCTGGAATAAAGATAATTAATCGGATCACCCTGGGTTAAGAAATCTGGATAAATAGTTTGAACTATAGATTCAACAGGATCAGACGTCATTGGAGCAATCATATCGTCTGGTATTTCAATTAGTGATTCTCCGTCTTGATTTTCAGCAAAAGCTCCGTCACCAATCTTCAAAATCCACTCTGCAAAAGATTGGATAGTTTGTCCATCTGGCTGGCCGAGCATCCTTGCTAGCCTCATGTTTTTAGTAAGCCTCACTATAGTACAATGTGACCACAAGAATGAACTGTTCAGTGCGGCGTGCACAATATCTTGTCTCGTGCCTTTTGGTATCACAGGAAGAATTTGCCTAAAATCTCCACCAAATACAATCGTCTTCCCACCAAAAGGCAAGGTAGTGTCACAGTGGCTAGAGTAACGAAGCACGTCTCTCATACTCCGATCAAGAGCTTCAAAACAGTGTCGGTGCGTCATAGGTGCTTCATCCCATATAATTAACTTAGATAACTCTATCAGCTTGGCCAACGGACTACCATGTTTTATGTTGCACGTGGAGTCTTCTACAACACTAAGTGGAATCGCAAACCTCGAATGTGCGGTTCTTCCTCCAGGCAAGAGAAGCGATGCTATACCACTTGAAGCCACGTTAAGAACTATATCACCACGAGATCTCACAACCGCAGACAAAGTCCTCCATAGATATGTTTTCCCAGTTCCTCTGTGGCCATATAAAAAGTAGAATTTCCCGTTTCTACTATCTACAGATTCCATTATCCTATCATACACAACATGTTGTTCATCTGTCATCTCGGTCAACAACTTTGCATGCTCCTCAATCAGATACGATTTATTATACCGCAGCTCTTCATGAATGAGAACTTCTTCAAGCGAGGGCATTTCATCATCAGGTAGCAAGGGTATGCCGGCAAAATCATGTAGTGATCTACCTCTCGACTGCAAGAGCTTCTGAATCTCCAACAAACAGTACTTTTCAATTTTCTCTTTATCCAGTTCAAAATCTGCAGTAGCGCATTTAAATATTTTAGTACCTTAGTTAAGATTAAACTAATAAATCAAATATTCCACAATATATACATTTCATCACAACCAAATTACACATGCAATACTTCTAACTTTAATTAACATGCACATAAAGAAAACATGTTTACTAATTCAGTAATTAAATGTTGTATATTTTATTAAATTCATCACTCAGCATGAAAAGATGCATAGCTTTTTGTATTTTTTAAGTGAAAATGTATAGTAAAAATTAAGTAATAGTAAAAGTGCTATTATTTGTATTAATTGATAGACCTTTATTTGTTAAACCTTTTAGATTTTTTCTGTCAATTTAGTAAATATAATAAGTTCACTCTACGTATATTTTTTATACTATTATGAAAAAGCATCCAAAAGGCATATATAACATAGTAAGAAGTACTCCCATAGTAAACTACGTTACTGTACATGGTAACATAGTAGAAGGTATCGTTCATATTACCTAAATAAATATTTTGTAATAAATAATTTTAATAAGGTAATAAACTACTAACATTTAGTATATTCAAAAAATATTTTTTATGATGATCTTTTTCATATATATAAGTAATGATTAGCTCAGGTAGTTGTTACGTTAAACCCCGTTCGAACTTTCCTATCACAGGTAGTTCCCGGTGATAGTTTTTAATGAAATTTTGTGAGTATTCTCATCATCAAGTATAGTTTATTACCACCAAATTTAAAAGCAACTGCGCCAGAATGTACACGAAAAATGCAGTCATCTTCCATGATTTATTCAACTGATTTCCTGATTTAATTTCAAGGTGAAAATTTGTGGATATAATCTACACTTCATGAGGAAGGTTCTCATAAAATTTCATTAAAAATTTCCAACGGCATCACACCTGATAGTCAAGTTTGGACGGGGCTTCCTTGCAAAACTACTTGATGTGATCTTTTTCGTATATATATTAATATACTATCATGTACATTTTTTTATCTCACTTAATATGTCATTAGCTATGTATGTAAGACAATCAATTAAGTATTTCATCGAGAAGTAATTATTGTAGAACTAAAATATATAAATATTTATAAGCGAGTAATTCACTAAAAATAAAAAAAGATGGTTTAGAATATAATATACCTGGATTACCCGTAATCTTGCGAATATTGTATAGTATGTCATCAGAGAAAAACTCCCAACACTTTTGTCACACTAAGCCTGGCTTCGAAAACTCATTTGAAACCAGTAGAGTAGCAAATACAATGCGAAGTGACCGTGAAGAAGACCAGAAGCTCGCATCTGTAATGCCATCAATAAACTCCTTGTCATCTTTAAGTAAACCACGTGCGTGGCACACGTCTCTAAATGTAGGATATACGGTCCCTTCATAAGTCCTCAACTCCTCAAAGCTGATTGCTCCCTTCACAATATTCAACAATATTCGTAGGTAGTACTTCTCTCCTGCTCCATAATAAATGTGTCCAATAGCAAATCCTCTCTTCCTTTCTACCCATTCCATGGTATTTTTCTTCCACCTGAATTTGCTTGGAAACTCAACATACGTCAGCTCTTTGGCAGTAGGATACACTTGATTTTCTTTCATCCAAGCCGTGAATTTTGTGGAGTTGATTGTTGGTCAGTGGCGGATCCAGAAAATTTTGTTATTGGGGGCATAAACGGATTTAAATTAGAGATATAATTTTAAACAAAAATTATATACTCAATGTGATGATTGACCATATTATTTTATTTTTATATTCTTCAAGATTCTCAAGAAAAATGAATGAACTTTTTAGATTTGAATAGACTCTGATATCTTTCGTGTTGTTAACCTAGGTGTTTTACATTATCACCTAATAACCTACTTATTAAATCATCAATTATAACTATATTTTAGTAGTCTACTCGCTTTGTCAAGTATCTTGTAGTCTGAAGACATCATTATGACATTATCAAGAAAGAGGCCACTTGTTTGAATTTCATTCATGTTCAAATGTGTTGGCCTTAACATAGAACATATGTAGTACTACGTATATTATAATAGGTTAGAAAGCACTTCCATAAAAAAAATAATTCACATGCTTTAGTTTTCTTTTTCCACTATATTTTTGCGATTTTTTAAACACTTATTCTTTATACAGTTATAAACTTACCAAGAACATAAGTATCTTGAGATTTTTGTAATATCATTCCTACTTTTCAATATTACTATCTTGCGCTATGTGATCAATTTTCATTACACATAATCCATCTTAAAATCCCGTTAAAAAGTCAATGATACAATTAAAAAACAAACGAGTTCGTTGCATTCATTTTTTTGACAAAAGTTTGTTGGGTTTGTTAAGATTAGATCTATACAGTATCATAAATAGAATAATATACACTCCGATTATTATGAATGTCAATGTATAAAATATCCTGTGACTCTAGCTTAATTTTGTAAGCAGCATTTCACTTTTTAAGGAACGGTGAATTAATTGACACACAGGAAGTATCAAATTAATTTGACTTAATCCAGAATTTTAAAATTCGAATCTAGTAATGACTTTGTTTTCTAAATCATATGAATGTTTATTTTTTACGTAGGAACTATCTTTAATTGGGGGCAAGCAAAATAATTTAATGGGGGCAAATTGTTTTTTACAAAGGAAAACGTATTTATTAATGTATGCTCCCAATCAATTATGAAAATGATATTGGGGGCATGTGCCCCCACTCATTTGAACCTAGATCCGCCCCTGTTGTTGGTTTATTCAGTACTGAGCTTATAGATGCATTGGGATTGTAGTATACGTTCTGTGCATCAGGAAGATGAAAAGTGAGACGCTCAACTGGTACATCTCGATAATGAATATGGAATCCGAAAATTCTCCAAGCAGCCTCACATGCGGATATATACCGACAGTCATAGTACATCTTAATCTCATCTATTATTTTTGGAGTAGAGTTATCTATAGCTTCTGAGAACTCCACGGTTATCCGATCGTCACCCTTATTGATGTACTTAAATAAGTACTTAACTGCCCGTGTTTGGTTACACCACTCGACATTAATGTGAGCACTATACTTCAACAATAAGCCACGGTTGTGTGGGATGACATATCTATTATCGAGATCGTGGGTATTCTTAGTAACATACCTGCCGTTGTCTCTGCGTCTGTAAATCGGATAACCTTGCTTATCCATTGTCGTGCGAACGACAAATCTCTTTGGAAAGTGCTTTGTGCACCGGCCTTTTTCTGTGCATGGTGCAGATGCATTCATAGGGCCACATGGACCGTGGATCATCAATTCTTTAACTGCATTGTAATACACAGGGTCAGCATATTCATCTGGGATCTCTGCTGAAATAATTCTATCGATCATCACCGATGGGTTTGCATTGCGCTCTGTCATCGAAAGCCACAATACAATGTGCGCATGTGGTAATCCACGTTTCTGAAACTCCACAGTGTAGACAACTGCACAACAAAATTAAAATAAATGTTTTTGATTAATAAGATAATTAAATTAAAATTGTCAAGTGATTGTTATATTTTTTGCATATATAAATGACACATGTTCTTTCAAAAAAAAGTGACATGTGTGCTTAAGGATATACACATATAGGTTCTCTATCGCATAACATTTTTTATGCATTTCACATCATAATTCATCTTTAAGAAAATGTTTTTTATATTTCAAAATTAAACTGAACATAATATGAATTTCATTACTTTTATAAAACCATAGTCGTCTATATTTATATGTGTAGCGGCCAATTTCTAAATCTGTTTTACAAAAATATACAAAAACACAAATACATAGTACTCCGTATCTAAATCGCCTAAACACATACATACATAGAGAATTCATTTCACCCGGCAGTCCGCACCAGAACCACTGTCTATATGTATGACTAATTTTCCTGTCTGTCCGGACTGACCATAACAGCCATTCGGATGACGCAATCTGAGGACCTTCCCGGTGGACGTTTTTGAAGATATTTGGTGATGAGATTATTCTTCACGAATTTTTTATTGTCTCCAAAAAGTTTAAACTTAAAATTCAATTGAGAACCTAATAAAATAAATCATTAAAACGCACTGCCCAAAAATATGCATAAAAAACACATTGTCATTCAAACAAATATTTTAACTTACTTTCAGATTGAATCTTAAGCTCAAATTTTGTGCGAACGTTCATCATGAAGTTTAGATTATTTCCAAAACATTTTAGCTTAAAATTATACTGAGAAGCCAACTAAATAAATCATTGAAACACACTGCGCAAATATATTCATAAAAAACACAGTGTTTTGCAAAAATTTTAGTTAACTTACTTAATGATTGAATCTAAAGCTGAAGGTTTGTGTGAATATATTGATAATGAAGTTTCAAATGTTCTTATTCAAACTTTAAAAATAAACAACCAAAGCTCAAAAGTTCTTATTCTGGGAAGTGAAATGCATAGTTAAAAATGATAAAGTTCAACTCAATCTAATAGATGCTAAAGCAGATTAAAAGCATTAAAAATTAACAACCCAAGTTCAAAACAATCTGTTTTCATTACATCACATGAGTTCCTTTAATTTGTGTATTATATTCATCATAGAAATCCAAAACAATGTCAAATACTACTCTCTAGCATGGGATGGTGAGTGAACTGCATTTTTTGAAGTAGTAGTTCTATCTAATGAAAAGCTTAAAAGGAATTTTTCAAATGTTCTTATTCAAACTTTAAAAATAAACAACCAAAGCTCAAAAGTTCTTATTCTGGGAAGTGAAATGCATAGTTAAAAATGATAAACTTCAGCTCAATCTAATAGATGCTAAAGCAGATTAAAAACATTAAAAATTAACAACTCAAGCTCAAAACAATCTGTTTTCATTACATCACAAGAGTTCCTTTAATTTATCATACTAAATGATGTTTGAAAACAATCTGTTTCAAATCGAGTATTAAGGAATTCAGAATACTCAAACAGATCATAATTTTTCAAATGTTCTTATTAAAAATTTAAAACTAAACAACCCAAGCTCAAAAGTTCTTATTCTGGGAAGTGAAATGCATAGTTAAAAATGATAAACTTCAGCTCAATCTAATAGATGCTAAAGCAGATTAAAAGCATTAAAAATTAACAACCCAAGTTCAAAACAATCTGTTTTCATTACATCACATGAGTTCCTATAATTTTATCAAACTAAATGATGTTTGAAAACAATCTCTTTCAAATCGAGTATTTAGAAATTCAGAATACTCAAACAGATCATAATTTTTCAAATGTTCTTATTCAAAATTTAAAACTAAACAACCCAAGCTCAAAAGTTCTTATTCTGGGAAGTGAAATTCATAGTTAAAAATGATAAACTTCAGATCAATCTAATAGATGCTAAAGCAGATTAAAAGCATTAAAAATTAACAACCCAAGTTCAAAACAATCTGTTTTCATTACATCACATGAGTTCCTTTAATTTATCAAACTAAATGATGTTTGAAAACAATCTGTTTCAAATCGAGTATTAAGGAATTTAGAACACTCAAACAGATCATAATTTTTCAAATATTCTTATTCAAACTTTAAAAGTCGTCAAAAAAACAAAATCGGAATATATACCTTGAATTCACACACGGGCAGTTTCATAGATGCTAAAGCAGATTAAAAACTTTAAAAATAAACAACCCAAGCTCAAAAGTCGTCAAAAAAAATTGGAATATATACCTTGAATTCACACACGGGCAGTTGCAATAGTCCAGTCTCCTCGCCTGTCTCCGACTATCCTTTCGTCGGTTGGATTTCTGTAAACACAGGTAGCAGGACGGCAGGCACCGAGTTATCAGAAATAAGTGAACGATAAATATAGAAAAAGAAGAATTACAAAATACCTTGTGTGGAGCGAGAGTATGAACTGCATCGATCTTCATCTGTATATATAGTAGTGAAGATATTATTCTGAGTTTGAGGTATTGAAGAATTCTAGTTTGGGTGAAATTCTGAGAAATGTGGAGATGAAGAATTGTAGTTTTGGTGAAATTGTAGGAAATGCGGACGTTTGGTGCGGAGATGAAGAATCGTAGTTAGGGTGAATGTCTGAGAAGAGCGGACGTTTGGTGCGGAGATGAAGAATCGTAGTTAGGGTGAATGTCTGAGAAGAGTGGCGTTTGGTGCGGAGTGGCTTTTGGTGCGGAGACTTGTGCGGATAAGTCAAATTACGAAATAGGCCAAACTAATTGCGGAGACTTTGTGCGGATAAGTGAAATTAGGCATAGGCGGGAAAATTTTTTCCTTAGCACGTAGTGCTTTTAGTTATAGGATGTAAGCCACAAATTTAGGTTTTTTGTTTTAAATCGAACTAATTGGAATATGAACTTACCGATTGTGGAATGTGAATTAATTACTTAGAAAGTTCACTGAGCTCAGATCACGTGGCAATTTCAATTCAAATCTGGTAAGGTTGGATCTTTTTGAAAACAGATAATTTAATTTTTGTTGAGACATTGGATCCCGGGTCCAGGAACAGGCCCAAATATCCCTAAAAGGTCCAGACCCAGCGGAGTCCATCAGGAAGGAAGCCCAGTTCGCTAAGCGTCGCACGGTCACAGTCGAACGACCCTGTTATCACACTTGGACCGTTTCTCCACCGTGCCCCGGCCATGACGGAATGTCCCAAGGAAGTTGGCAGAAAACCTCATATTTGACGAGAAACACATTTAATGCAAGAAATATGAAGGATCTTATGTTTGAGAGAGTATCCACTCAGGGTCGGACATGCCATCCTCTTCAACTACTCATTCGTAGTATAAATATCAACATTTATTTCATTCTAAAAGGGTGATAACTTTGTACTCACAGCACTATAATGCCCTCTAGCTCTTGTAATAGCGTTAGTTCTTTGCCTTGATTGGAATTCCAGTTCGGCACCTTCTTGTAATCAATCCATTTATTGAAATAGACTTAGTTCTCTGCCTTGATCGTAATTTCCTCTCCTTTGCACAAATTTCAACCACATAATTTCCAACTTTGGTCAACCTTTTCGTAACGGATGAAGTACTTTTCAAGAAGTACTTTTCAATATGTTATTGCGGTTTGTTTGGCCACCGCCAAAGGGAAAGGTCCCAATCTTTGGTGAAGAACATGCAGTCCGAACATGCCCTATGAGTGGATCATGCATAATGCTTTTCTCTCTTATAAAAAAGAACAATCAAATAAAGTTGCGAGCAATGCATGCGGAATCTAGAGAACATCATCATATTTACCTCGAAATTCGCAAGGTTTTATTCCAAAAGTAAAAGGAGCTGAGGAAGGCTCTTTAGCAATTTTATTATGGTGGCTCTTGAGCATTTAAAAATGTAAAATATTCGGTGCATTTTAAACCATTGATACGCATAAAATATTTTCCCATCCAATGGGTTAAAACTTAAAATAACCTTTATTTTTGTAATACGTCATTAGTCATTTTTAAGAGGTGTTTATAGATTTCAAAACCAACAATATAATAATGTGGGGAAATTAAAAATCCTCCCTTTGTAAAACCAAAGTCTTATTAAATTAGTCATTCTAGTATACGCCCTTCTAAAGTAATGTGCAAAAAACTTTACAGATTAAAGGTAGTGAGTATAAATTGTGAAATAATATCTGACCAAATTTGAGGATAAAGGACAAAAATATTATTTCATCACTTTTAATTACTATAATTATGTTCAAGTCTTAATCGTAGTGACTATAAAAATATACTCATAGTAACTTTAATACTCTCCAATATTTAATTATAAATTTATTTTAGTATGGAGTATATAGTATTTTACGAAAAACTCCTCATATTATTCCCCCTCATTATTTTTAAATTTGTGTTAATAATTTGTATTTATATATTTAGAAATTACACCAAAAGTTCGATTTCGAAAATGATTACAAATTTATTACCAGAAGAAGTTAATAAATTAAAATAATACTGTGTCCAACAAGAAAAGAAAAAGTGAAAATCTTTTTGAGAAAAAATGTTTTTGAATGGATCAGGTTTTAATTTACGCATTCTTCGAAGGTGAAATTGGTGTCTGTGAGCTGGAGTGCCTATACCGTGGAACCGGTATGAGCATCGTATATCGGGACGGTTTTTTATTTTTTTTTTTCCTTTTGTTTTTAAAAAATGGTTATAACTTTTTTATTTTTGATCCGATTTTTATAAAATTTATATCAACATTTTTTATTTTTCATGATCTTTCAAATGAGACCAATATTGCCTATGTAATTTTGACATATTAACATTTGTGTGTAAAATATGTAACTTTAAGTGTTAAAATATGTAACTCACGTTCAGTCAAGTCAAATGCAACTCGTGTGTATAAATATGTATCTCTACGTGTAACAATATGTAACTTTACGTAAAAAAATATGTAACTCGCATTTAGACAGGTCACATGCAACTCGTGTGTATAAATATGTAACTCGCGTGTATAAATATGCAACTTTACGTGTAAAAATATGTAACTTTACGTGTAAATATATGTAAGTCGCGTTCAGACATGTCAAATGCAACTCGTGTGTATATATATATATGTAACTCGCTTATAAAAAGATGTAACTTGCTTATAAAAAGATGTAACTCGCTTATAAAAAGATATAACTTGCTTATAAAAAGATGTAACTCGCTCATAAAAAGATGTAACTCAATGTATTATCAAATGTAACTGAGGCCACTGATCCACTCCCAAACAGATTCGATCTTCTATTTCACAAACCTATCATCTCCCAAACAGATTCGATTTTTCTTATAATCCAATACTCATTAATATAATAGTTCGATAATTTCTTAAAATTACATACACAATATTGGTCTCATTTGAAAGATCATGAAAAATAAAAAATGTTGATATAAATTTTATAAAAATCGGATCAAAAATAAAAAAAATATTATCATTTTTAACATCAAAAGCAAAAAAAAAAAGAGATAAGTTGCGTCGTTTTTGCAACCGGGCGCACCATCCTCATGGTGCGCCGGTTGCACCATATAATTTGCGGTGAGCTGAGGGCTAGTAGACGAGTTGCCCTAAAATGAGACTAATTATGTTGTAACCCAGAATTTATTTAGTACTTTAGTACACTTCTAACTTATTATGTTGTACCCAGAATAATATATGTTCCATATTTAATATTTTATTTAAAACATATGATTATGTAAATAGAGAAACATCAATGGTTATTTAAACATTAAAGAAGACATAGTTTTTTTCGTTTAAAAATTTCAATGTCAATTTGTGTTGGTTCTACTTTTTATTTTTGTATCGATGTATGGATATGTGTATTTGTTTAGAAATAGTTTTCAGTTTTGGGTTAAGATTTTATTGGTGTCTGATTTTTTCGATTTTTTATTGTTTCATATAAATATAGAACAATCATATCTACGAATTATATATATAATGACTGATATTGTTTTCGAACAATTTAATTGTTTAAAAGACAGAAAAACAGCGCCTTCACAACATGTGAAAAAACTTAAAATAGTAGATGAAAACATAAAGTATGGAAACTGAAAATTAATGGAGTTTGATTAAAATTGTTCTTAATTGCATATGATCATAGTGACTATCAACATAATTATAACCACCTTTAAGTAGGGGTGGACTCGGGTCCGGGCCGGGTCCGGGTCGGGCCTAGGCCCGGCCGGGCCGGCGGTTCAAGAATGGTTGACCCGGGACCGGCCCGGGTAGCCACCGGGTCCGGTCCGGGCCGGGCCGGGCCTTCGGGTTGGATTTTTTTTTTTTTTTTTTTTGCTTTCCTAACCCCCCCCCCCCCCTCTCCCAAACCCCCCCAAACCCATCCTACGGTCCTACCCATCAAGCCCAATCCGGGTGGAAGCCCAAAAATGAAAAAAAAAATAAAAAAAAAAATCAATTTGGCCCGGGCCCGGGCCCGACCCGGCCGGGCCGGTTCACCAAAATTCAGACCCGAGCCCGGACCCGCCCTACCCCCCGGGCCTAGGCCCGACCCGGACCCGGACCCGAGAACCGGGCCGGTCCCGGTCCCGCACAGTAGCGGGCCGGGCCGGTCCACGGGCCGGGTGGCCCGACCCGAGTCCAAGCCTACCTTTAAGGTACCTTTAAGGTACCATACCTTTGTCCACGTGGACAAATCAGAATGATGTAGTTGAATTATTTAAATCTAAATAAAAAATGATATAATGATTTGAACCAATCAAGTGAGTGGTAGGTACGGTACCTCATTTTTTAAATAGGTACCGGAGTTGTCATCAAGTCATTAAATCACATTTTATCTATAGTTTATCTTTTGATAATATCATCATCATAATTACCCAGTGCCTCAAAAGCCCCCACCTACGATGGTTTAAGGGATTGGATGTACACAGTCGTACCCCTGTACCAAAGCCTAGAGGGACACTTTTGGATGATCCATAATGAAAATTGCATGGACTGATTGCTACTTCATAATAAAGAAGCACAGACTGTTTAGTGAGATATTTTGCTTTATTCCATCATGTTTCCAAGCAAAAAAATAGTGAATCTTTGACTCTATTGCAAATTATCAGAGCAGTCTAATAAATTTTGAGGACATGTTCAAAGTACCAAAATGAGGCCCCACATATGAATAGAAATAAAATTACAAAAAACTCACAAAGTTCAACAAAATTAATTGTGTCCAAGTGTTCATACAAAAAAATACATGATTTATAATGACTACATTTAAGTATTATGCTATCACAGTATCACTCGAAGACTCAGAGAGACGTAGAAGATGAAGTGATGAACCGTCAAAACTGATGAGGCGGTTGCCG